CTGCCTGCATTACCCCGATATTTTCGGGCTGCCGTTTCGCTCCTGCCCCCCCGGTGCTCTGCGGGAAGGAGATCCCGGCTCTGCCGTAGCCCTGCCGAGCCGTATGTGCATTTTCCCCTGGAATTCCTGGGGGGTGACACCCCGACCCCTCCTTCCCCCTCGGGTACCTGCCCTGCTGTTACCTTCCCTCTGTCTCTCCTTGTCCGCCAGATTATCAGAGCGAGTATTACGGCCCTGGAAGCAATTACGATTTCTTCCCGCAAGGACCACCTTCATCCCAAGCGCAGACCCCCGTGGATCTCCCGTTCGTGCCCTCGTCGGGGCCGTCGGGCACCCCACTGGGGGCCATGGACCACCCCCTGCCCGGACATCACCCCTCGAGTGATGCTCAGCGCTTCACTGACATCATGTCACACCCCCCGGGAGACTCGCCCAGCCCCGAACCCAACCTGCCCGGGTCCTTGCACTCCATGTCCGCGGAAGTTTTTGGCCCCAGCCCCCCATTTTCGTCGATATCCGTCAACGGTGGTGCTAACTACGGCAATCACTTGTCCCACCCACCAGAAATGAACGAAGCGGCTGTGTGGTAGCTTTAAAAAAAAAAACAAAAACAAACAAAAACAAAAAAAACAAACTGGGTCTTAAGTAAGTGATGATCATCTAGTCTGCTTATTGTTATGGTGTACAGAAATGAATTAATATAACATCTCTCCTGCCCTAAGACAATATTACCTTGGGAACGAACTGAATCCAATCGCTCCAAGGCGAGTTTTGCTCTAGACCAGGACAATCTCCATGTTATGGTTGTATCAAACAAGCGAGGGGACTTTTTTTGTACCATTGACAAAGAAACTGGGGAAGCTGTACAGTAAAGTGCTGCCATCCCGTAGGATGGCTTGAGTTTGATTACCCTGTTGGATGTCATCCTAAGAGCCACAAATCCTTAGAAACTTCTCGTTTTAAACAAACAAACAAAAAAAGATAATTGATATTTGAATGAAGGAAAGGTCAAAGAAAAGGGGGAAAAAAGCTTCAAGAACTCTCTAGCGTTCCCGGTTAAGGATGGTTCTGGCATTCTGAATCTGTTTGTTCATTTTTTGTCTCTCAGAAAGTTCGACAACAAGAAACTCTTTTTAGCCTCAGCCATTTCAGCCTGCTGACGATCAGGTGGGACAACTTTTCTTTTTTTCCTTTCTTTTGTTCTTTTCTGTTTTGTTCGGTTTTCCAAAAAAAAAAAAATAATAGCGAATACTAAATGTTAAGCCCTCAGCACCAACTCTTCTACCTTCACAAAGCTACACGTACAAAACCTCCTCATCATAGCAAAGGTCACCACCCAGACCTCTAACGAAAATGACTTGAAAACAAACAAACAAACAAACAAAGTATTCTACCTTCACAGAGAGAGAAAAGCTAAACAAAAAAAAAGACTCTATTGAACTAAAAACAGTCAACTGTTTACGTCTAATGTTAAATTCAGGAGCTCAATGTTTTACTAATAAATCCTGTTTTAGAAAAAAAAAAACAAAAACAAACCTCTTGTTCAAAAGCAAAAGATTTTGAGCAACCAACCAAAATAGTTCATTTTCTTTTCTGTAGATGTTCTAACAGATTGCAGGGCTTGTGGTTCACTGTGCTAGTTTGTAAAAGGTGTTGTTTACAGAAGGCAAAGAAAACAAAAAAGAAACCCACGAAACCCAGACAGTTGCCAAATAAAGTAAATATATAGCACAAATACTGTAAGGTGCTTTGCACCAGCAACCCGAGAAGGTGTTTAAAAAGTGTTATACAAGGTTAAAAAGGAAAAAAAAAAAAAAAAGACAAAAAAAAAAAAGACAAACGAACATCTTTGCTAATTTTTAGTCCTGTTGAACATTCATGGAATTGTTAATATGACTTATATAGACCCACACAGGTTTTATTTTTGTGTCTTTAAAATAAAAGTCCAAAATATTTAAATTTTATGGTCAAATATGCAGTCAACAGCTGCTACTTTTTTCTTTATATATTAAATTTCTCATATGTCTTTTATTGTTCTAATAAACCTAAGCTTGTGTGACCTCCAGTGCATATTAGACCATTCACTGTATGAAAGGAAACATGTTGGATAAAATTTGTGCGTTTTTAATAAAATTAGAAAATCTGATGTTTAGATAACTTGTGTTTCATTTGGTGTTTGAAGCAAGTTTTGGAGTCGAATAGTGCTGAGACAGAACGATCCGCTCTGAGATAATCCTGCAGAGCATTTTGGCTTCGGGAGAAGTCTCAGCTCTGGTGGCAATGCAGAGGCAGTTTCAGGCTCATTTTCCTTCTCCAGGCCAAGTCCAAACACCTTGGAACGCTGTACATTCCATTTTCAAATTGGAAGCTAAGCAAATTTTGAAATATTCTTAGTTATTTGTATGTATTTATATGCTAAGAGAAAACGTTCAAAACGCTGATTTTCTGCATGAACAAAACTCTGTTGGAAATGTAAAATTCTTGCAAAGGTTTGGGTTAGAACTGATTTGTTTTGAGCTGATTCTCTAAAGGTAATTTTAATTTTTTTTTTCCCTAATTGGAGGGTTTGAACACATAACCTCAGTTGTCCTGAAAGGGATTTTAATCCTTTCATTTAGAGCTGAGACGAAGTCAATTGTATAATAGTGTTTGGTCTGTCTGAAGTTCTCTGAAGGGCAGTGGGGGAGAATCTTTTGCTTTGCACTAGATAGAGACTGAGAAAAACGAAACAAAAAAAAATGTGGAGCCTTGTGAAATGGCAGATTTCATGTCTGAATTACCAAGCCTTGCAGAGTGCTAAATACTCAGCCCTTGAAAAGCAAAAATCTCTGATTCCGAGGGGACTTTGAGCTGAGTTGGAAACAAAGAATCAGGTTCGGTTCGGGAAAGTCTCTGCTTTTAATGTTTTCCACCTGCTGAGCTAACGCACTGGGATGATCTGTAATTGCATCTTTTCCTCAGCTAACCATGGCTCGGGGTTGGTTTCTTTTTGCTTTTATGTCGAGCAGAATTTGAGGCTAACCCACAGATTTCTCCATTCCCAGCGAGTGCATTATTTACCTCTTTGGACTGGGAGGGGGAAAAAAACTCAACTGAAACTGCTTTGCAGTTGTGTGGTTTGTAATTATCAGTGGTGATTCTGGATTTTGTTCACTACCTCTGCCCAGCAGAGGGGACACCTAGATGAAGCAATAGTTGACTTGAAACACAAAATGTCTTACATCACCATACTCTAAAGCTAAAAAACTCTCGGCAAGGGATTTGTTAGTGTTCCTAAACAAA